GGGGGGCGGCTTGTACTACATTGCAGATGCTACCAGTGCCATGGCCTGCACTGATGGCTGCAGGCGGGCCAGCGGCACCATCGCAGCTTGCACCAGTCGTGGCAAAGCAGAGGCTATAATTGCAACGTGCAAGCTGCATGGAGACCTGCGGCCGCGGCGCTGAGACCGGGCCTCCCTTGCCCCGTGCCTGTCACTCACCGCCCGCCGCTCGGCAGGGGAGGGGCAGGCCTTCACTCGCTGCTGCCGCTTTCTTTTCCGCTCGCCCCGGCGCGGCGCTTCCGGCTCTAAAGCGCCCTCCGGGCGGCGGCACAGCCCGGGCTCCAGCTCCCGCCGCTGCTCGGAGCCCGGCTCCAGATGTGGCGCCCTCGCCTCCTTCATTTGCATATTGGGCAGCTGCGCGATGCCCCCCCCCTTCGCGGGGCGGGAGATAGCTAGAGGCCTGCCCTGCTAGGCGAGGACAAAGAGCCGGTGAGTGCCTGAGACGGGGGGGTGGGGAGTGCTGGGTCAGGGTGCTCCCTCCCTCCCTCAGCTGCTTGCTCCAGGGCACTGGAACAAGGGGTGCTGGCTCCCGCACCCCTGGCTTGAAGTGGTTTCCATCATATCCAGGGTTTACAGTTTGGTTCAATGGACCTCAACATCTCCACGATACAAATTGTTCCAGCGCCCTGGCTCCAGCTGTTTTCCACAGCTGTATTTCCTATCCCTTAGCTGTGGGTACCCTCCTCCCCACTGTTTTCTCTGGGCTGTAATGCTTTGGGCCAGTGGTTCTCAACCTATTTGCTATTGTGGGCTGCATCCAATGCTGCCTGTATGGACCTGAGGATGTCAAATGGGCTGCAGCTGTGTGCTGATTGGGCCGCAGGTTAAGAACAGCTGCTTTGGTCTAATCTGATTTGATGGGTTCAGCGTGAGTGCTGGGTGGTGGGGATGGCCTGGAATACACGGGATCAGACTAGAGTGGTCCCCAAACTGGGGGAGGAACATCTGGGGTGTGTGGCGGGGTCTGGGCCAGCTCCCATGGGGGAATGGGGAGGGAGTGCTACCCAGTCCCGCTCTGCCCCCAGCTCTGCTCTGGCCCCCAGCCCCCACTCCCAGCCTCAGCTCAAGCCCCCACTCCTGGTCCCTGCTCCCAGCCACAGCCCTGCTCCTGGCCACAGCCCCAAGCCCCACTCCCAGCCACGGCCCCTGGGCACAGCTTGGCCTCCGCTCCTGGCCATTGCTCCGCCCATGGCCCAGGGGTTTAGGGGGGAAGCACGGACACATTCCATTACTGGTAAGGGGGAGTACGAGAGGAAAAGTTTGGGCAGCACTGGACTAGATGGTCTGGTCTTCCAAGGCATCTGGCCTTAAACTCTGTGCCTTTTGAGAGGAGAGCTGAGTGCTACCTGGACTAGAGGAATTGAGGGTTAGGATGCATCTGTCTGAGGCCTGCATCCCATGCATTCGATCCACAGTTCTCTGAACTGCAGATCACAAAACATCAGCCAGCCAGTGACCAGGTACTGGATCAGACCTGTGGGATTGGGAGTCAGTTCTCCGTAGCCTCTATAATGAGCCTGCCAACATGGGGGCCAGTTAGTGCCAGTTTTGACATGGCCACATGACCAAGGACCGGGCTGAGACCAGTCTATTTCACAGAGCCATTAAATAAATGTCACATTGCACTATTATCTGCCACTAATATGGCACCATGGTTAGGCATGGTAGATGCTTTGTAGCTAGATATGACCTTGAGCAGGGCCGTCCTTAGGCATACACAGCATACGCAGCTGCGTAAGGCACCATGAAATTTAGGGCACCAAATTACCCCATTTTTCATGGTGCCCTAAGCAGCTGCGTGCTGCATATGTGGCAGCCCTGGCGACCAGCCCTATCCCTCGGCCGGTCCCCCCGCTTCAAGGGGCAGAGCCGTCCCTAGGGGCGTGTAGGGCCCCAGACAACTCCCTCCGCCCTGCCTCTTACCCTTCCCCCCTCCTCCGCCTTCGGCCCGCCCCCATTCCACCTCTTCCCCCAGCAATCCCGCACTCACCTGCAGCGGCGGGAAGCGGAGCAACCCGGCCCCAGCCTGCTCTACTCCTCCAGCTCCCATCCACAGCGCTCCGCTTCCCGATCATCCCCCTGCACTCACCAGCAGCAGGAGGTAGAGAGACGCAGCCCCAGCCCGCTCCGCTTCCCAGCTCCCAGCCATGGCGCTCTGCTTCCCGCTGCCGGTGAGAGGCGGGGTCGGTCCTTTCCCCACCCCGAGCGACATGGCTGGGGCCGGGGCAAGGGAAGCGGA